GTCGTTTTTTTTTTTTTTTTAATTTGATTTGCATTTTTTTATATGAATATCTCCTGTGTTAGCATTCTCGGAACCTTCATACTGAAAAGCAGCGTTTTGAAGGAACTGTGAAAAAAGGTTTTTGTTGGTCTTGTCTTGTTATCCTGTTAGTTTCCAGGTTGAAAATCTAATGACGACCATTTAGAGGCCTTGGTCTGTAGAGTGTCAGTTGGGGAAGTTTTGCTCTTTTTTTAGCCACTCGTCTCTGCGCCCCACCCCTTCTTGCCCCCCGCCCCGTCTCGCCCCCCATTTCACATTAATAGGATGTTGCGTGAAATAGCCATATGCCTCCATAGAATCTGCACCTTAGCGTGGTAGCCAAACCCACAATCTCCACCTCTGTGGTGCTCTCTTTCTGTCACCTTTGAATTGCAGGCTAGGTGAGGGACCTATATTTACACAAAGGACACGCTCACAAACTGCAGTGTGTGAACAGCACCTTGTGTGTAGCTAATATGCAAGATATTGGCTTCCCCTATCCTTCAACTAATCTGTGTGATCTGACAATTCTCTTTACAGGTTCCATACAAAGTTGCACTCGTGCAGCCTGGACGCGGTGCAGAAGTGGCTGACGGGCAGGGAGGCGGGCAAGGGCAATAGAGTTAAAAAGGCGGACACTCCACTGGTGGTTCCAACCGCCTTTGACGATGAGGGACACTCTGGCTGAGGAGCTAGCTGCTATGGATGCACGAGTCACAATAAAGAATGTCACGGTAAAAAAAATTTTGTATGTTCCCTTCTTGTACTACCAACAATATGCATCTGGACGACAGATGAATGGGACATGTCGTCTCAACGAGTATACAATAATTGCCATGAGTATACTGTATACATGGAGAAAGTCAATTGTTCACACAGAATTGTTTCTTAAAATTGCACACATACTAAACCGGCTTTTTTCAATTCAAGTCCGAAAAAGATGTTAAAAACGGTCAGCACCTATAAAAGATATGAAAACCAATAAAATAGTTCGGACTGAGAAATTTAGCATTTCCACATTTAAGTCAATTTGATCTACTGAGAAGTTAGCTGTTCAAAAATGCAGTAGGATGTCATTCCTGGGCTTTAAAGCCTTACACAGCTAGCATTCTGCTGGTTCTATGCTGGGCACACTGAATGACGCATACGCTGGTGCTGATCCGCAATTTCTCAGGCACTGACCCGCAATTACGCTGGCACTGATCTGATTTTACGCTGGGACTAATCCGCAATTGGACTGGCTCTGACCCGGAAACACGCTGGCACACTGATGGTTTCCTACCGTACCACCGGTTCCATGCCGGGGATCTGTGTCGGGAGCTCGCTGGGAACATCCCGTATTCCCGGCATCCCGGTTTCCCAATAAGTTCCCGGTACCGGCCAGATTCCGGCATTGGGCCCGGCCGATGTCGCCCCTTGGGGCGTTTCCGGTACTGGCCGGTATCGGTATCCCGGCAGGCCAATACCGCCCCAACCCCAACCCGGCGTGTTGTGCTACTTGGGAAGCTACGCTTCAGAGTAAAGGCACTCGCCCATATTTTGGCTTAAAATCATGGTTGCCAGTTATCTGAAGGTTTATCTGAAATCACAGGAAACCATTTTTTGTCCTCGAAAATGTTTACACAGTTCGAGACAAAGCAAAGCAATACCACATGAGCTTCCGAACGCTGAATCTAATGCTGAGGAAGTTGCACTTTTGAATCATGACGATCGGCAGTTCCGCCTGCTCTGCACAAGCACTAAAATGGCGGCACCCACAACAATGTCGGGGAACGAGGTGCCAATACTCTGCGCAGCTCATTTAGTGGCTCTAGGTGTTACATCTGTTAAAAACAGAGTCTGGGAGCAATAATTAAAATGATAGTTGTGTGTCATTGACCTTTTAAGTGTGTTTGCAAAAGCAGTCGAGGTCCTATTTGCCAACTTGTGCATCTAAAAAATTGTGCGGAATCAGATATGAAAATAATTTGGCAGAAACACGAAGCAAATGAAAAAGACAGGCCTTGTAAGCACTATAATTTGTTGGCCTAGTTGTTTGAACATCACGAAAATAGAAAGTGCCAAGTACAAGGACAATTGGAATACTACACAGGACAAATGCTTGTCCTGTGTAGTCTTCCATTTGTCCTTGTCTTTTGCGCTATTTTCGTCTTGCAAGCACTCTTAGATGTAGCCTCCATATCAGCGACCAAAGCCAGCAACAGGATAAGAAAACAGCAGGTTCCTATTTACTGAAGTAAAAGAAAATGAGAGCAGAGAGTCGGCACTGTTTTTGTGTTCTGTATCTTATCCCTGTGTTTCTCCTTTCCACAGCCCCTTCTCCGTACCTGTGGAAAGGAAAGGAGAAGGGGCTGTGTTCCTTTTCCTCTCCTGCTCGCCTCTCATTTAGGGGAAACGTTTCTGCTAAATTTAGCGGAAATCTTTCCCCGCTAAATTTCGCAGAAACATTTCCCCGCTAAATCTAGCAGAAAATTTTCCCCACTATATTTAGCAGGAAATTTTTCCACTAAATTTAGTAGAAACGTTTCCCCTAAATGAGAGGCAAGCAGGAGAGGAAAAGGAACACAGCCCCTTCTCCGTAACTTTCCCTCCTCCTACAGAGATGCACTCTGATTCGGCATTACAGGGAGTTGTAAACGGCTTTCATTTTTTAAAGTTGTTTTAAGTGTGTGCCACATCATGTAAAACTGGGAACTTGAGTTACACAAGTTGCTTAGATGCTGCTTTGTCACTGACCTTAGTTTCATGCCTTAGCGGTGGAAAGAACAGTTTTCTGGACGGGCTAAAACGGATATCTCTGGTGCGGTGTCCAAGCGAGCATCTCTGTTGTGTAGAAACGGTCACTACCGATGGGAGCGACAAACATCTGCAAAGTGTCCCTGAGAAGAATTCCTCGACTGTGTGGACCACTTTCTCCACTTCTCAATTCAAGTGTGGAAACCGACCACCTGCCCTTGGTGTCTCTTTTCGGGAAGGTGGAGTTGGACATGCTTCCACACCCCATCCAACGTCTTTGCCTCAAGCTCATGCAGTATCGCTTGAGGAGTGAGCAGTTGGTGTTCTGAACAGGCGTGTCAAGCGAGGCGTGCATGCGCCTGAAATGTCATAGCAACAAGTTTTTTTGTTTTATCCTTTTTTTTTTAGTTTTGTTGGCAGGAGACGCTGTCAAAAGAGGCTCCTCGGGCATGTGCCAACAGGACTTTATCTGGTTGATCAGGTCGCACCATTCACCGTGCTGCGTGTCCTTACCTATACAGTATCTTACACCGTCACAATGTTTTCCAAGATTTTGATGCTATTAAATTCCTTGTTTCGTTTCGCAAAAATGCAGCTGCCATGTTTCCCTTGAGAAAAATATTCTCATTCAAGTTCTGAATCTATTGCCAGGTCAGCTGTCTACTCCTTGTATTGAAGAATATTGCATCAATTATATAAGTTCAGGGTGCAAAACAGAAGGAAAAGCATATTGCAATTATTGTACGCAATCAGCATTCCAGAACGAATATTTTAGCCCCTAGCATTGTGTATGAACAAGCAACCGTTTTGGTTTCGGTTTAATCGTTGTTCGCCAGGCAATTTTGAGCTTTCGTCTTAAACAGGCCTCTCAGTTTAGGGAAGTAAATTTTCAAAGCGGCCGAGGCAACCGCTTCCCGCGCGCGCTCAACGTCAACCACCAATAAAACGTTTTGTGAGGTTATGAAATGCTCAAGGGCAAAGAGAAATTTAGACGTAACAAGTCACAAACCAGCTCGCTTCTTGACCCCGGATTCGCCGAGGTAGGAGCATCCGACTCATCTTCAGAATCAGATGATGACGGGTCGGATGAGTCCTCCGACGATGACGGGTCCGGCGAGTCCTCCGACGATGACAACTTGTTCCCGGTCTCGTCCTCGCTTTCGGCTGCCGAGTCCATCGCAGCCGCCGTGTCGACTGTGATGGGACAACAATGATTTTCATTATGAGTGGTGAATGCCCGGATGCAATCGTGTGGAAACCGTGGAAACAGAAAAGTTATAATGAATATATAACCCACCACAAGCGCGGTGGCCGGCATCTGCATTGTCTCCGTCGCTGTTGGCACACGATTGACTCTGTGGGGTCGCAGCTCTAGTGGCTCCAGTGGCTTGAGACTGGCCAGGTGTGTCGTTGTCCTCAGCATGGTTCTCGGAATCGTCCGACTCAACAGTAGGACGCTCGACAGTCCGACGATTCTTTATGCGGCACTTCGAGCGGATAGGAATCTTGCAATTGGTGTTCCAAAGGTATTCGCTGTACTGTCGCTTACCAGGCATTTCAGATTGCAAACGGCATCGGCGGCCTCAACAAACAGCAACAACCGGACCTTACGCCTCGCTGATCACGGAGACGGCGGAAAACGCAACAAGCGATAACTGCGAAAACGCCGACGCTGCCGACGCTACGACGCTACGTCAACTGGATTCGGTTCGTCCCTTCGCCACTCGCGGTAGAGCTATAACTCCCGCCGAACAAGAATATTATTGTACGTCACACATTTGCACCACTTTTAAGGTAACAAGAGTTCATCGGAGTCGCTGTAGTCACCCTGAAAAAAAAAAAGGGAAACCCCGAAGGGCGAGTGCTTTTTGTGAATTAAAACGATTGGCTGTTTCTGACAATAAAATATTTTGCCTGAAACTAAAGTTGGTTGTTTTGGGCAACTTATTGGTTTCGGAGCGGCAATACTATTTTTCATTTTGGGCTACATCCAAGGAGGTTGCTACATCGCACCAACGTTAGTCGCACTGTGACATCCGGACGTACAATCAGGCTAGGTGGCGCAAGCTGCTACCCAATACAAAGGGTACAGCCGCTAGCATTTATCTACCCACCCAATCCAATCCAAGCAACCAAGCCGCTTCTTTTCTTTCGTCTTTGTTGGCGGTTGCGTTGTTTGCGTGTTGTATCGGAAGGTTTACGGGGCCGGCGGTACAGGCAAGATGACACATATCCTTATTAAGTGGGTAGGCGAAGATAAGTGGGATGTTTATCCCGTTAAAGCGTTAGACAACCCGGCCATCGGTGTGCAGCTAATGTCTGAGGAGGGAGCTATAAAAAAATTACGCAGGCAGGTCGTTGATGTAAGATGGAAGGTGGATGAAGACCCGTCACCCGCCACGCTCTTAGATTTCGGTAAGTGTTGCTAAACTTTTTGACCGTTTGTTAGTATGGTTTAGTCATTTTCAGTGAAACAGCCTCGAAGAATGTGCGCGATGTCTTCTGTGTATGTTTATTTTTAGATAAAGGACGGCAGGCCGTTGAGTAGATGCAATTTTTCAAACAATGCACCTAGGCTCGAAACGTAGGTTTCCTACATTTTTAGCATTTGGTTGGTTGCCGACTTTTCTTTATTGTTTCCGAACCAGATAGGATTCTCTGAAATGTTTACTTTCATATTTATTTCTCGCAGGAAGTGAGGGAGCGATGGAAGGCAAGCGCACGCAAATGGCGAAGGGTGCGCCGGACGCCGGAGCCTCGACGGCAAAGGTTGGTATGCCGCTCTTATATAGGGTGATTGAAATAATGAGGCTTGCTGTTAAACGGACCGCGAAAATTGACTACACGCAGAGCTAATACTTTTGTCAGAAGTGTATTCTTCATTATCTATACTTGGCGTCAGTCCCTCGTTACTTCGTTGTCAAAGCTACTTTCGCCAGCGTGGGACTTTTATGTTCTAGACCAGTGGTTCTCAAGCATGGATGTGTTGGGAACCCCTTGGGTACCCGCCACAGTTATGGGGGACCCCATGCCAGCGGGAGAAGGGGAAAGGGGGGGGGTTGCTATAATAGTACTAAAGACTACTAAGTGCAGTGTGTACTATAAAGACTACTAAGTGCAGTGTGAAAAGGGCATCCTTTACTGTTATATAGAGAGGAGAAGAGAGAAGCATCAAACAAATGGATGGATCGATGGTAATGACTGTACCCCGTATAAACTTGTGCCACCTAGCGAGGGTCAGCAAAAAACAGCTTTTCTTTTCATGCGAGGGTGTGCCAGGAAGCCTTGAGGCTTGACGCCAGGGACTCGCGGACCCCAGTGGGTCTGCGAAACTTCATTTGAGAACCACTGTTCTAAATAAAAGTCGTTCATGACATGCCATTGATTGCCTTTGTTTTAAAGAACTTCGTCTATGCATTTCAGTGTAGCTGTGAGGCTAAAATAAAGGTTCTCGAAGAAGAGAATGAGTTACTCCGGGAGCGCCTCAGAGTCGCAGAAACTAACTGTGGTAAGTTCAACATTTTGTCGTTAACAAATCTGCTATATATTTCGGCGTTCCGTGATGTGACGCCTTTTTATAAATTTTTCACTGTTTACCAGCATGCCACCATTGTTGAATGAAGCAACCCCAGGCTAGCGTGGGTTGGCAACAGGATAAGTATTCAATACAAGTGCCACCCACTAGCATTATGCACCTGCTTGATGTCCCCTGCTGTTGTGAAAATGGTTCTTTATAAACGCTGCAGTGCATCCTTTGCTTTGCGACATTGGGATTTCAGGCAGGAGACTAGTGGGCGAAAGTCGCTCCTGGTCGTGCGAGATGAGATGGTCGCGTTTGAAGAGAGGTATTTTTGGGAAAATGCACAAGATGTGGGCCAGGCCGGGCTTTGCATTTACCTCAACAAGATGTAAATCTGCCTTCGTGAATACCAAACACAAAACGGGCATGAATGGGCCCCTAAAATTTAGCGTCGATGTCAGACCAGATTGACTTGTAAATGGCCAGGCTTTTAAATATCGGCTTGTGCAGACCTTTACCGTAGGACTATTCTTGACAGCTGCACTTGTCAAAGGTACCACGTGTAGCAATTGAACTGTAGGAGGCCTTGACTTTTTTTACTCAAGCCAGCAGAGAAGCAAACTCCAGCAAAGCAGCTTAGTGGTGGCAAGTCACTCGAGTCTACTTCATGCAGCGTGCCACTTTAGTTGTGGTCACATCAACCTTTTTGCCTTGTCCTACAGAAACCACTGAGAAGACAGCTGATACTGTTACACTTTTGCCCCATAACCTTCTCTTTGTTGAGATAAATTTCAGCACATACTGTATGCAGTAAAAGCGATAGTTACCACCATGGCTATGTGGAAAGGTGAAGGTGTTTCCCAACCTATTGGATGTGATCATATCCGTACTACACATAGCATACTCTCAGTTCACGGGCAAGTAAGAGGGCCACTTGCACAGGGACTAGAGGAGTCTTGTGTAGGGCCCCATTTCCAATGTCTGCTATCAAAGGCTGTATATTCTTATACCAATGCAATGATTATTGTGCCAACTTGTCGTGACTGAATTTCAGACTCTGCGAAGATGGCCAAGAAGCTCGAAAAAAGCCTGCGCCACCTAAACCGCCTGTGGGCAAGAAACGAGGAGGTGTTGGAAAGCCCTAAGGTATTGCTAGGAGTCAACACAGCAACTCCCTAGTTATGTCTGAATTATTGCACCTCTCGTAAAAGCATGTAGTGCATGCCAATGTGTGGCACGTTTTGTACACAGACACAATAATGTAGTGTAATCGCTGTTGGTCGCACAAAAACCATATGCTCAAATTTTGTGCATCTTTTCAAATACAGCGGTAATTAGGCTTGTCTATAGCATGTGAGCGTGCGGCTTTCCCCGGTGAGCACTAGGCTAGTGGACAGACACAACTATGTTTGGCTTGTGGACATTCAAGATTTCCCGCATACTTATGCGGAGCGCAAGCTTGTCTGCTTCTCTCGCAGGGATTGTGGTGCCGTCAGAACGCCGAGCTCTGATTGAAGGATAGTGGGTAGGCTTGCTTTAAGTTTTATCGCAGAAAACACGTAGACATCCATACTGTTTAAATACAAACCTATTTGATCATCATTTCAAGTTTGGAGCTAGCTAGCTGACCGAGCGCCGAGATCAGTTGGAGTGGAAATGACGGTTGGTCAGAGCGCCAGCCTCGGGCTGCGCATGTTCATGCCTCAGTGATCTTCCTCACGTGCAAAGGTGCACTGACGCTCCAAGATGTCCAGCTGGATTCACCTTCAGTGAAACTGGTTTGTGACATGTCTGAGGTGTCAACAAACCAAGATTCATTGTCTACCACTCCTCCAATTTCATAATTAATATTTCCGATGTAAGATTTTCTCGTGTACACATTTACCTCGTCGGTCCCCTCCCGCCTTCAAGAGGATGCCGCTACATGTTGACCTATGTGGGCCAAAGCGTGCATATGGCTGGCAAGCAGCCTCAAGCACTCAGCAATTCCAGATACACTTATGCGGACTGTTGCATGCTATCCCACGTGACTAGACCAGTTTCCACTGATGCCATCAGCCTAGTGCCTGCCAGAGAAAGCCGCATGCTCGTGCATTATACACAAACTCATCTCTGTTACGTCACGGCGCAGTGGTGGCGCGTCGGTCGCACTTCAGGTCTGAAGCTGTGGGCAGAAGTCCCCATGCCAGACGTGTATTCCTGCGTTGTTTTGAAAGTAGCCTGACAAAAATCTGCCTTCTCGTCAAAACGCCGCGACTGGGGCCGTACTAAAAGTATCGAGAACGATTTGAAGGTCAGTTTTCACGTGCTCGGTTCGTCCGAGAATTTGGATATGTGCCGTGAAAAGGGAAAAGCAGACGCCGTCGCACAGCGATTGCTTGGGCAGCAAGCACCTTGAGTTGAATTCACGGATACTTGTGGTCATCAGATTTATTTGTTTTGTTCCAACATGAACTCCAGAAAACCGTCAAGTTGTGCAGACCACCTGCGGACTACGTTCAGTGCGCCTTCAAGTTCAAACGGCCGCCTGATTGTTTGAACTGTCGTCTGCTCTTTCAAACGTTTCTGCTTGTCGTCTGCTCTCTTAGACGATGCCGGCCCGTAGACCAAATGTTGGCCCGGTACTTGCGATAGGAAGTAAGTGCAGGCCTCAAAAGACTTAAATTATAAGGTTGGTAAGCAGGCTCGATGTAAACAGTAGATACAAAAAGATGTTGATCATTGTTACCAGCGACCATCACCGACTTGTTACCCCTAAATCACTTGGCCTGATTCTGCTTGCGATTTTCAGTATTGACGTCGACTATCTCGGCTACGGTACACACTTTTGCAGCCCGAGTGGCATTGCGACTGAAAATTGCGAGCGACATCGCATCATGCGAATCAGGCTTTAGCATACTTATTGCGGCGTCCACGCGGAATGAAGCGCTAGATGTCACATTATTCACGCAAAGTTTTGCGGTGTAACAAGCCTCGGTAATTTCGCTGACGCCACTCAAGCAGTCAGACATTGCCAGGAAGACGTATAATCAACAATTAGAACGCGAAAAAGAGCAGGGGGACTCGCACCGACGCCGGCAACATCGCATTTCCATGGTTTTTTTATGGTGCAACGTCGAGCTTCTTGCCCACACCCCCCATCTCGCATGCGCGGTGCCAGTGGCGTCCGCTAGGGGCGCTCCAGTTTGTTTGTAACCATGAGTTGGTGTATAGAAAAGCGTGATTTGCACTGTACCCTGTGCGTGTATGAGGCTGCATATGAGGCTGCATATGAGGCTTCATGAACATTGATGGGAAAGGCTCTGGCTTCCTTATTTAGTGGGGAGCTTTTGAACTGGCTTTTAACTAAAAGTTTCGAAGGATCGTAAGGGATTGGAGCCACATTCTTGTTTCCGATTGACATTTGAGTCTTCGCAGTTTTTAATTCTTGAAACTGTTTCTGGTTTAGGTCGACATCGGGTACGGCGTTCTCGTGGAGCAGACGGCCTTAGCGGGCCTCAAGTCGGCAGGCGTTTAGGCATCAAAATACGTCAGGGGTCTCCTGAAGGTGGTGTTTTCGGAGGAGGAGCTGAAAGGCAAGAGCCTTCGGGGAAGGAAGTGCAATGCGCAGAAGGAGAGTGAAGTGAAGCCGGCCCTCGATCCAGTAAAACTCTAAGCTGTCCTCGGTATGTAATCCTTCCTTATCCTTGTTGTACCTAAGTTTTTGCAAATGTCTCATTTTATTCTTGGGCGCTGCAATCTATATGTCATGGTCATGGCCTTCAATCCGAATGCATTTTCTACCTTTGCATAGCAAAATAGTCAGTTTTAACTATTTTGGGAAGACACTACCTTGGAAGTTCAACTTTCAAGCCCTTGCTTAAAATAAATGAAAATAACAATGTTGACTGCTAATTATGATAAAGGATGCAGAAGGAAGTTCCAGCTCTGTGCACCGATTGTGAGGGAAATTACAATTCCTATTGGGAATACACAAACATTGTTTGGTTAATCTATAGTTAGGAAACTAATGAAATACTCAGCAGTTTTCTTACTAGATGCAAGGCAGAATGCCTAAACAGTGGGGCTATTAAAGAATCTTGTCAAAAAAGGCTTATTTTTGGAAAAAGATTGTTTTTCAAAGTGGAGCAACTTTTTGGCCATCTGTGTTCTTAAAAAAATTATAAATTATTTTGTAAAAACATTTGTAAAAAGCTGCATTCCTCATTAAATTTCACTCAGGATAAAATAAGTCTGCATCTTTTCTTTAGTCTCATGATCAAACGAGAAATTGCCAAATGAAAAAAATTTGAAAATATTCTTTATATGTTGGTGAGCCTGATTATAACATTAGTCAAATGTCTTGCAAAAACATATTTTGTTAGGCCATGTCTCCTTGGACGAGCTGAGCTCGTTGGATGCTTTCTAGTTAAAGATGCCATGGACGTCCAGTGGTTTTTTCTGTAGCCCTCAATTCCACAGACGAGCTAGGCTTGTCTGGGTAGTTTGCGGCACTGATCATAGATGGCGAGTATTTTACAGCAGTTCAGCGATTTCTTCGTCGGTCAAGGGACGCGCCGGCGTTTGCTGAACGCCATTTTTCAAACAAACAGTCAAAGGTGTCATACACATACATTTTTGTGCTGCCATGTATGCATCGTTTTTAAAACTGAAAATGTTTCCGATACATGAGTATAGATGGTGCATCCTACCCACACTCTAAATTGAGCGGGCATTTAAAGATGTGGTTCCCAACAGCAAAGAAAGTGCAGCGTGTCTATAGACGCGCCCCCCAATCTGCAGTCAAAATTGACGCACGTCTAAAGACAAAGACAATTGAGCGGAGTTGCCCTTTAAATCACTTAAAAGGGTTATGACACGCCAAAAATAAAATATGAGATAACTATACTGCTAGGACCCATTGTATGTTCCTATAATCCTGCTAAATTTGTTTTGAAAAAGGTGCGAT